ATCGTGACGTGCGTGCTGACGTGTGCGGATGTCGTTGGTTTGGCGTTGGTACTCTTGATGGCAGGGATCACGCCGGCCCCGACAGCTGATGGAACAGTATTGCCGACTCCAGGTACTTCCAGCAGCACGGCAGTCGATACAGTGCCCACTTGCCCAACCGGGCTTGCTTGCAATGCAGTTGTAGTTACAACAGGTGGAAGACACGACCTCTTTACGCGATGTGCCTTCTGGTTGGAAGTGGGCGAGCTCAGGAGCAGCTTGATCTGTGATTTCAGTGTTTGCACCTCTTGGCATTCCTCAACACGGACCACGTTGTCTTCAAACGTCTTGATGGAAGGAATCACGCCGGCCCCGACAGCTGATGGAACAGGGTTGCACCCCGTGGTATTCCTCAACACGGACCACGTTTGTCTGCAAACGTCGGTGTACGCGTTGGTTGTGCTTGATTATCGCGACTTGCGTGCTGACGTGTGCGGACGTCGTTGGTTTGGCGTTGGTACTTTTGATGGCAGGGATGACGCCGGCCCCGACAGCTGATGGAACAGCGTCACGGACTCCAGGTGATGACCAACAGCACGACAGTCGATACAGTGCCCACTTGTCCAACCGGGCTTGTTTGCAGTGTAGTTGCAGGTTTGAGTTTGGGAGGGATGACCATTGGATGCTATGTTTTGTTTGGTTGGAAGTCGGCAAACCCAGGAGCAGATTGATTCCGCACGCGGCCTTGTCTGACATCGATGTGGGTGTTCGCGTTGGTCCTGCTTGATTATCGGTACGTGCGTGCTAACGTGTGCGGATGTCTTGGTTTGGCGATGATTCTCTTGATGGCAGGGATCACGGCGGCCCCGACAGCTGGTGGAACAGTGATGCCAATACCAGGTTAGTGTCAGCACTGTTATCCCTTTGTCAAGAATGAGCTTCGAGAAGGCCCGTGTTGCTTTGTCGTGGTTCGAGGCATGATCTTACGGCCTCTCGAAAGCATTTGTAGGAGCCCATCCTAGGCTAGGTAGTTGCCCAAACAGCCAAGAGTTGGCTTAGGTGTAGCAACTTTATCGGTGCAGCACGTGACATTTCATTGACTACCATGTAGCCAAGGTGTGGTCAATTCTTGTGTCTCCGCCACTAGTTCGACATTTCTCGTATACTTCCCTCCACCTGAAACGTGTCCTGTTACTCTGTCACGCAGAAGAAATGCCCTCAACAGAAGCGCCTTCGCTTGCAGCTGTAGTCCAAGACCCTGGGTCTGTAAGCACGACTGACCCTGTAGGTGGGCCCGACGTCGATCGAGCTCCAACGGCAGCGCCCACCTCGGCACCAACGTTTCTGGTCGAGGTGAGCGATGTGTATTTTATGGTTTTTTTTTGGTACGGCTGTCATTATTCGGTAGAACGCTTGACTTGCAGCAGTCATTCTTGATCTGCATATCAGTTCGCCTGCGAGCCGTTGAATGTTTCACGGGGATGATAACTTTTTTCGCTTTTGTGCTACAGGTTCAGGAGGCCGCCATCGGTGCCGCCCATGTTATCTCTACCGCCTCCGTCGGAGGTGTGGTGGCGTCGACCGTGGCGACCGTCGTCGGTGGTTCCGCCAGTGGAGCGTCATCAGTAATGGCGGGGGGCGCGGTATGTTCCGGAGGATAGGAATGGTTGGTTGTAGTTGGATAGTAACTATACGATGCGTTTTTTTTACGTGTTCAATCTATTGGTTATAGTTTATCAGCAGTGTCTTTCGTGCGGATCCTTGGTCGGCTTACAACTCTTTCGCGCTCGGTCACTCCATCATCCTTCACTCTCTTATTCTCCTCACGTCCTTGCTCGCTGTTTCGAAACAGGGCCAGGCATCGACGCAGAGTACGTTTCGCAATCCGTCGTCGACGATGGCTTTTCTGCTTACGTCACAAGTTCAGTTTATAGCAACGCTGTCGTTGGTGGACAATACGGGAGCGGAGGATTCTGCTCTCTCTGGGTTTGCCAACATCCTCAGGTCAGCAAGACCATTCATTAGGCTCATGGGACGGTTGGGCCGAGTGGGTCACTTCAAGCTGTAGAGGAGCACGTGCAACGATCACGTTCTTCTACATTGATCTATAATTCAGAAGGACGACGCGCTGAAAACACCATTTGGTCTACCATCGAGCACTTCATGTGGACGCACGCAACAACGTATCTGAACTGCGCTCTCTGTGTTGCTACGCGTCAATACCGCTCGGCATTTTCAAGGTGGGTAAACTTGTGGCCAAGCGAAAGCTTCTCGGAGGGTGTTGCATCAAGGATCTTTCCGAGCGAACCCGACAAAATCTATGGAGAAGATGATGGTGACGATGATGGTGACGATGATACAACGAAGCGAGGAATATCGGTGTCATTTACCCACGACCTCGGCTCGCTGTTGTTCATGGGAAATCTTGCGCTTTTTGCCGGGCTTCTGGTGATCATATTTTCCTTGCATATCTTGGTGGCGTCGGCAATTGAAGCGCACTGGCTGGCAAAGGTGAGGAACGGCCCTACATTGAGTTGTAGGTTGGTATCACGAGCCGTTCCCCAGGGAACAGCATGCATCCGTTCAACAATAAGCGTGGCAGGTGTTTTCGGCGTGCAGATTGTGACTATCGCGAAAACAAATGATGGCGGCATGGGTAGTGGGCGTAGAGCTACACAGAGTTGTAACGGGCAACGCATGTTACTTACGCACCCCCCTACGAACAAACTGCCCTCCTGCCTCCCTTTCGTGCTTTACTAGCAACGGGCGAGTAGGGAGGCTTCAAGAGCCCTGGGCCATGGCCTTTCTTTGGGCGAGCTGTCCACCGCCCTCTTGGACACACGCTCCCAGCAGCCGAGTTTGGATAGGGGCTCCTCAGCAGGGAGGCAGTCGTCAGATACCGTCCAGTCGCACTCATTGAGAGGACCATCTACGCCATTTCGGGGCAGCAGCGACTCGGGGGATTTGGAGAGTAATGAAGGAGAAGGCGGACGAACGAACGCGCGTCAGAGGAAATCGATGGGCCGAGTGTTGGAGTGTCGACAACTGTCGCAGTCACCGTGGCTCCATTACCCGCACCTGGAACTCATCTTTCTTTTCTTCGCCTTCGAGGGTGCAGTGACCTCACAGGTCTCAGCCTTGCGGAGTACAAGTTCTTCGAAGCTTTATTACGCGGCCTTGGTGACGTTGGTGAGGGCATGTAAAGCGGGGGCAGTACGTAGTAGACTTTGGGCGTTATACCGGGTGCTGTGAACAGACTTCAAGGGAGAACGTCTGTCGGAAACACGCAACGCGGTGAGATGCCCTATGACGTGGGGTGGGAACGGGTCTCAGGAACAGGTTTCAAGAGCTGTCACGTAAACGCACCCTCACCCGGAGGAGGTTACAGTGCAACGGTCGTTGTGATGGGGGCTAGGACCACAATTCGTAGGCGCTCAGCACACGCCTAACCTTGTACGTGTATGTCCCGACAGATATCGCGCCGGGTAGATTGGGAGAAGTCGTCAATACCAGTGGTTCACAATGAATCAATTACCGGAGTAGGTTCATGCAATCGATACCCTCATCGACTTTGACATCGTCTACGCTGCGCTCCCTAGCCGATAGACACCGCCCCATCACCCCCTGGTTCCTGGGGTCCTGACACTTTGTGTTTTGTGTCTACTTCCGACTGTGGGGCCTGTCATTTGGATGATAGTGTTACGTTGTGTCGTGCTTCAGAGCTTCCATGTAGTCACGCGAGAGTGTGTCCTGATCAACTTCCATGGCTGTTCGGTCTTTTCTTGGCGAATGAATGCGCTAACAGGTGCTCTACCCAGTGCTGATGTTTGCAATGGTCGCGCGAACTCACAGGTATGATGCTTCCGTCTATCCCGAAACTGGTCACGTGTAGACAGCTTAGAGACCATCCGCAACCTCCAACCACCTCGTATTGCTCTGAGAACTATCGAGTTTTTTCGTGGGTGTATTCTAGTTGCAGTGATTTCCGAGTGGTTATATCTGCCGCCCTCCAACCAGGCGAACTCAACTAATGGAAACCCGCGGTAGGCTCATGTGCTGTTTGGGTGACGCGTGTTCCGTAAGAAGGCCTTGAACATCTTTGACGAGTATCGACGGCTCAAATAGATTTGTTGTGTGTCAATTTCCCGCTTTGTGCCTATCGGATCGTTGCCCCCTCATCTCATATCTTCTGTCTGTATTGTACGTGGCAGGGTGAGGGTTCGATCAGATGCCCTCATTGTGTTCGTGTCCAATGAAAACCGCGTAACCTGGATGGGCAAAAAAGAGTTTTTCTCTAAACTCCTTGCTGGTTCGAGAAAGGATTTCAGCTTATTTGCTTGGGCGGACAAAGGACAGTGGGAAACAGTTCAAACGTCGGACGTGAATGCAAGACGTGATGCTGATTGGTTCCGGATCGGGTTTGAGCCATTGTTTGCCGACTTCACCCAAGCTGGATCGTGGTTCATTCTCTACACATTGATGGAGGTACGTCGTGGTTCAAGCGTAGTCTTTCCTCCACTCAGTTCCTAACCCCAACTCACTTAACATTCGTCGATAGAGTGAGTACCTGGCAACAGTTGAGGCNAAAAAGAGTTTTTCTCTAAACTCCTTGCTGGTTCGAGAAAGGATTTCAGCTTATTTGCTTGGGCGGACAAAGGACAGTGGGAAACAGTTCAAACGTCGGACGTGAATGCAAGACGTGATGCTGATTGGTTCCGGATCGGGTTTGAGCCATTGTTTGCCGACTTCACCCAAGCTGGATCGTGGTTCATTCTCTACACATTGATGGAGGTACGTCGTGGTTCAAGCGTAGTCTTTCCTCCACTCAGTTCCTAACCCCAACTCACTTAACATTCGTCGATAGAGTGAGTACCTGGCAACAGTTGAGGCTATCTTCGCTATTGGTAGGGGGTACGTTTGATGAGGCGGCCAGTGATTGCACTGTCTTCGTTTCTACCAATGAGGCTCACGCTAAATCACGCCGCTGCCCTGACGTACAGTAGCTTCTGTTTCGCGTTCGAGCGCGTCGCCCAGTGCTTGACACTTTTTGACATTTTTATCGAGTTTCATTGCAAGTTGCATCCAACTTCCATTCCCGTCGGTCGAAGCTGATCAATCTTGATAGGAAGAGGGCATGCTGTAGCCCGGTATTGAAATCGAAGTTGATCAACTTCGTCAGTTTCGATGAAACATCGGCGACAGTAAACTGGGCTGGTGTCTCCAGTTTGGATGGAAGTTCCATGACAACTTATGCCCAGCTTTCATTCCGATCTCGGCAACGAATTTCGTCAAAGTCGAGTGTGTTTCCGTCACATGGAAACATACGGAGTTGTGTAGATATATCGCGTTGTGTTTGTTCTTTTTTCTATTTTGTTCACAATAATGCATGATTCGCCTACGGAGCCAGACTAGTCGTTGCCGACCAGTATACTTTACAGAATTCGTCCGCACTCCCCATTCCACGAAATATCGACAGCATTGAACCCATGTCACCCTAGCGAGTGTTGATCGGTTTGCAAGTTGGACCGAGTTCTTTTCCGAATGGCACAAAGCGATCAATAATTGTGACTACATAGAACGCTGATACAAATTCGATCAGGTACATGTGTGTTCATGTTGTGCGAAAATCCAACACGAAAGCTAACCGTTGAATACCACTCTGAATCTTGCGCAGCTTCCTTCAAGTGTCAACAAACGTGTGGTATCGGAGACAGCGTCATGTGCTATGATGTCGTAGCTGACACTGTGTGTATGTGTTGGGAACGATGAGCGACAACGTTGATCAATGTTGGCCACAGTTTCGGCCAGATGTTATCCTATTCTCAGAAAAGCCTTGATCACATTTGGATCCAAGGTTCCATGGTATTCGTCATCCCAATCGTCATCGCAAATCGTGGTTGATCACACGTCGAAGTTCCAACACATCCCATCTTTATTTCAACAACTTCCATCACATTGTGTAACAGTTCATGGCAGTCGAATCACCATGCATCGAAGCCAAAAAAATCCGACACAGTGGATCGCGTTTCCGTCACACTCCCATCGCACTAGCGTCAACATTCGCCGAAGTCTCATTGCGATTTGCATGGACATTGTAAAACGCGCACCGACATTCATCAACGTCCGGCAACTATGATAAACCTCGATCCCAGTTACAATGCGAATTTAATGAAATGTCAAATATTTGTGTGTACCTTTCGCTCAACCCGAACTGGAATGGATTATGCCGACTCAATGCATCAGCCCTTTAGCAGGCGTTTAACGCTCATCATGGCCGTATATCTGTCCCCTGTGCGCGCTGCCCGAAGGCCTGTACAAAAAAGCCTCCACATCTTGTGGAAGGTAGAGCAGCATGGGTAATTATTTGTCATTGGCGCGTCGGCATATCTGTTTCTATCGGGCCCGTGAACAGTTTGCCACTGCTTCTGAAACGCGCACGCAGGAGCTTTATCGTTACACTTACCATGAATCCGTGAAAGGCGTCCCTGACCCCGAACGTTGCGGGTACTGGTTCTACTTCTACCGTTGATGAGATACAACCCGTCATGACGTTGACCATGTCCTCGGTCTCCCCTGGGTGGCAAGTCACCAAACTCCGGAAGGATAGCCTTGCTAGAAGTACCAAATATACGATCACTTTCACCGGAGCGCTCACGTGTAGGTGGGGGAACTTTGAGGTCTCTTTGATGAAGGTATTTACTCTGACCTCTTACAATGCGCACCAGGACGCCCCGCCTCAATGTATAGTTCTTCGCGGCGTCAGCGAGAAATATACTCTTCCAGCCTGACCATCGTGTCGCGGGATCGGCCGTCGAAGATTCAGCTACAGTTGGTCGATTTGGGATCCGATCAACCTGAACGTGTTTTTCATGGATAATCTGGGTCATGCTAACTGTTGGGTTTTCGTGTTCTTTCCCATGCTGTCTTGCAAAGTGGGCATTCTTTGCGATCGTTGGCGTGCTGGTGGACAACAGTGCGGTTCAACTCGGGTTATTCTGTGCCATGCATTCGTCGACCTTCATCCTGCTCGTGGTTTTCAAGCCCTTCGCAAACAGGTGGGTGGATGTCGCCCAGGACCGCAGTACCCACACATTTTCCTACGACGAGCTACCTACAACTGTGAACCACGAATAAAATTATTTCCTACTTTCGATCGTAGTATCATCTTGAGCATGTAGCTTGAGGCCTTTCTAGCGGAAAGGATACTGAAAATATGAACTTTCCTGGATCTTTTGAGTAAGATTCGACTGATCAACATTGGTTTTGATATACGCAACACCACGTCGTGCACAGGCGCTTGGTCAGCGCTACGTCCACCGAAAGCTTGGAACATTCAATGTCGATGGATCGGGAACCGGACAGTTTGGTGCCCTCTCTACCCATGGGGAAAAAGTCTATATTATGACCCTTCTCATGCTTATCTAGGATGTCGACTACCCCCAATGGAACGCTGTGTTGTTGTTTTTTCGGAGTTTTTGGGACTGTTCTGCCAGAGTTGACGGTCGGGCGGGTATGTAAGGCGATTCATACACACAGTATACCATCACAGCCCGCTCTCTTTTCTGTACAGTATTGGAAGAAAAAACTCACAAGGCCATCGACCACCTTTCAGAGTCGCGATGGTCGTGGCAATAACCTCACACAAACGTTTTCTAATCTTTGGTTACTAGGTTCTGTTATTAGGTTTATGAGGCATAGTCGGCCCTTAGGCTGTTGCACATGTTGCACTACGCTTGGTCGAAACGTGTGCTGCCCACGACAAGACTTCATGAAACCAGAGCGATGTCACGCTCTTGCTCGGTAGATGGCGGTTGCTACCCAGAGCAACGTGTAGCTGTGTTGAGTTTGAACTGTTTTATGTGTTCCGGTCGACCAACGCGGGGCGTGCCATGAGGAGTTGCCCTGCACCAGCTTTTCAGGGAACCCTTGGGAGCTGTGTCGTAGCGTCCAAACCTGGTGGCCGGCATGTATGGGAGAGACTCGGCGAAATGCACCACATCGAAAACTACGAAGACAACACATTTGAAGTCGTCGTGACGCATACAGACTTGTACGATGCACGAGCAATGCCACTTGTGAAAGTTCAGGATATCCGTGTCGTGTTTGGAAAAAGACTTGGAGGAGAAAGCAGACTTTCCTTGTGGCACTCCTTTTTTTGATATCCTGGACGTTTCGTGCACGCAGCGTTCTGAACGCGATGGGGGCAATGGTCATGCTGACGGACGCGGTTTGTATGGGGATGCTGGCCACTTCCGCGAGCATGTTCGACGGGACTGCGACAGCAAACGGGATTGACATGGCAGTCATGGTCACACAACAGCTTTGTGTTGCGGGTGAGGTTCGGTTGAACGTAAAGACACAATTTCTAGCAATATATCTGACGTATTGCCAACTGGTTCTATCAGCCAGTCTGCTCTGATACCTCGGGGCGCTGCATTTCTTCTGGGAGCGCTCCGCGTGCTCCTCCATGTGTTCTCCACCGTACCTGTCGCTGGCAAGAATGTCGAACAACGTTGGTTTTACACAGGCAGGCAGCGGCACGTGTCGCCAGTCAATTTCGGGTTTGGTTTGCTGACCGCCCTGATCCGCGCTGCACCGTCCCTTGCTTTTACAGCACTGGTGGTACCTCTCTACTTGGATACTTGCGTGTCACTATTGGGGGTTGTTCGAAGCAGGAGGGGACGCGTCAAGGCCAGAGAGAATGAAGATGAGGTGAGTTCAAAGACAAGCCTTAGCCATCGTAGTATCGATGAAAATATTTCAGCACACGTCAAGGAAGGAGATGTGCCGGCAATGTGTTTTGTGATTTTCGTATGGCGGAGTGCTTGCAAAACTATTACGTCCGCGCTTGGGCATCTCAGTCGTGCATGTCGTTTTGTATGGCAGCCCCAGAAGGCGGTTCAATTTGGCGTTAGCATCCAGTTTGTATCGACCACAGATTGTTGAAAGTTACAACAGTTTTGAAAGGAGAGAACACGAAGGTGGAACGACTATCTCCTAGATGTCCGCCTACGCGCGTAGAAGGTTAGCACCGGCGTCGTCCTAGCTTCGGTGAAGGACATCCAACTACCATGCCTGCTGCCTTCTACGTGCAGGCGCCAATCGATTAATGCACGGAAGCCAAGCGCACGCCTTTGCCTCGCTTAACACTCACTCTCCTTGCAGCGCGCTGAGCGGGAGTTCATCATCCGTCGCACTCTCCGGCTGTGGGCACCCACCTGGTTCAGGATGGTCGGCAACAACCTGTTCGCATGTAAGTTCCTGTCGCGAAATACTTATGGAAGCGGAAAAGTGCGACCGCGGGAGGGCTTGACCACGGGTCTGAGGGGCGGGGCTTTTGTGGATTGCATCCACGAAGGCCTTCAAAATGCAGAAGTATGCAGACCATTCCATGTGGTAAAACAACATCGATGGCCACATTATTGATCAATGTTGGGACGCGTGGGTGTGACGTCAATCCGGCTGTTCAAGCATGTCAACGAAAAAGCGAGTACTACAGTGATGCCCAATGCAATTCCACCCTCTTCTTACGCAGGTGTAAGGGATACGAGAGAGGGTATCCGTGACCCGACGGGCTCCAGGCTCCAAGCGCGTCTGCGAGCCGGGCGAATCGGCCCTTATCCCGAGTGGAACTTCAAACTACACGTACCGGTGGCTATCGACCTGCCACGTCGCCGTTCTGGTGCTTCATATTGGTACGAGGAGCACGTGGATGCCAAAACTGAGCAATTCTCCTCTGGAAGACGTTCGAGCGGTGAAGGATGGCCCATGGAGAATGATCTACCTCTCCGTCGTTCGCGATACTCTTTCAATTCGCGTACCTCGTCCGCAAGCATGGATACGTCCGGCGAAATGGCAAAGTCCGTGAAAAAGGACGAGCACCGAAGCTATGGAAGGCAGAACCAAGGAGATGCTACCGAGGACGATCTGCCCCGCCGCCGTTTCTTTCACCCCTCGATATCGGGGAGTGTGGATAATGCCATCGACAAACAGGCGATCCAGGATCATGGCGTTGACACGGGAGCTATTTCAGAAGTGCAAGATCGAAATCACGGTCGGGGTCGCACACCGGGAGGACCGACAGAGGAAGATCTGCCGCGTCGCCGCCCGGGATTTGCGCTTGCTCCAGGGGTTTTGGTTAACCGGGCCGACAACCTCCACGTCGTCCGGTCTGCTCCGGAGCATGGTGAATGTCAAACACGAAAAAGGGGAGGGCTCATGGAGGACAGCTTGCCCCGGCGTCGTTCCTGTCTGTTCTCTGAGTTGGGAAGTTCGGAAGGTAGCATCGACGATCATGGCCTGCCGTCAGTGCCGGAACACGATCATGGTCTGGAAGATGCTGTTGATGAGATCGATGCTCGACGTGGTTGGGAGCGTCGACGGGCAGGACCCATCGAAGACGATCTGCCTCACCGCCGCTCCGGTTCCTCCTCGACTTCTGGGGCCGCGTCACATGATCCCGACCACCCTGGTGTGCAGGCTAAGCACGATTACAGCAAGAATACACGGCCTACTGGAGACGAACGAGGTGATAGACGTAGTGTAACTCAGAGATGGGGCGAACCCGTCGAAGATAGCCTGCCTCGGCGTCGGTCGGTTTTCTCTTCCGCTTCAACGGCTTCGGTGGACGGCAGTAGTGAACGCCAAAAGGAGTCCGTATCGACGTGTGAGAATGATCTGGGATCTGTGGTGGATGAAAACAGCAGGCGTGGTTGGGGTCGGGTGCGAAGAGGGCCCGCCGAGGACAACTTACCCCACCGTCGCTCAGTTTTCCCTTCCATGTGGGATTCTGCCAAGGATTCCAGAGGGCATGGACTGCGAAAATGGGGAGAACCCGTTGAGAATGACTTGCCCCGGCGTCGGTCGTGGTTCCCTTCTGCTTCAACGGCATCGAGCGGCAGCATCAACGACGCCGGACTACCGTCAAGAACGGACCACGGAGATGGTGCTTTGCTTGATGCTGACGAGGACGGCCTCCAGCATTGTCGAGGAAGAAAATGGTGTGGACCAATTGAAGACGGCCTGCCCCAGCGTCGCTCTATTTCCTCTTTTGCGTCGACGGCGTCCGTGGGCAATAACAATAACACTGGCCCGCAGCCAGCACCGGAACTTGGGAATAGTGCGACGTCTGCTGTGTGTGAGGACGGTCTGAAGAATGGTCGAAGACCAAAATGGGGAGGGCTCGCCCAGGACGACTTGCCCCGGCGTCGGCCGTGGTTTTTTTCTACTTCGACGTCATCAACGAGCAGCATCAGCGACACCGGACAACCTTCAGCGTCGGACAATGGAAACGGTGGGACGTCTGGTGTCGACGAGAGCGGTCTTAAGCATGGTCGAGGAAACGAATGGGGTGCACCCGTTGAAGACGACCTGCCCCGGCGTCGCCCAATCTATTTTTCTAGGTCAAAGGCATCGAGAAGCAACAGGAATGGCATTGGCCCGCAGTCAGCGCTGGAGCATGGCAATGGTGCAATGTCTACTGTCGCGAAGGACGGCCTTCAGCTTGGTCGAGGACGAAAATCGGGACGGCCCGTTGAACGCGACTTGCCCCAGCTTCGATCGCGATTCTCTCCTACTTCCACCGCATCGATAAGCAGCATCAGTGATACTGGCTTGCAGGCACCGCAGTCACCGCAGGGCCATCAGAATGGGGTGGCTCCCAGCATCGACGAGGACGACGGTCTGAAGGATGGTCGAGACCGTAAATGGCGGGAACCTACTGAAGACGACCTCCCCCGGCGTCGGTTGAGTTTGACGTCTACGGTAGGGTATGCGGTAGGTTTCCCCGACGAATCTGGTGTGCAGATGGGACCGGAGCATGACAGCGGCCTGTCGTCTGTGGTCGATGAAAGCGATGGGCGGCACGGTCGAGGACAACAATGGACAGGGTCTTTCCAGGATGACCTGCCTCGGCGTCGCTGCATCAGCTCGTCTCAAATGGAGCATGTGACAGATTCCATTCCTGCATCTGACCGACAAGGAAGATATGATCACGGTGACGACGGCTTGGGGTCGGTCTTTGGTGACAACGGCTGTCCAAGTGGTTTGACAGGTCGACGCCAAGGAGCGGTTCCAGGCAAGCTTCCGCATCGCCAGCAAAACATCGGCTCGGTTACGTGTCGTCTCGCCGGCACATTCGATGAACCAGTCCTGCCAGAAACGCACGATCATGGCGTTGCGCCACGCGCCCCTTCTGATGAGGACAGGCAAAGGCATCCTCGTACTGGTGTCGATCTTCCCAAGCCTCGACGTCATGTGTGGTGGTCGGACATGGTAGAGGGCGGAACGCTCGAGCTATGGAGTGAAACATTACCTGCCGAGGCGGGTCTCCTTCGGGAAACCGGAGGGAGTCCGTCTTCCAGGACAGGAGACCAGTCAAGCGTGAGTGAGGGTCCGCCTGCAGAGGAACGAAGGCAGCCCTTCGAATTGGCCCAGAGCAAGGTTCTTGATTCGTCGGCGCCAGATTCCTACACACTATGCGCAATTGGGGCAGGTTCGCAGGCCTCAAGAGTCCTTGCGGACGTGGGCAAGGGCAACAACCTCGTGGGTGGTAGCCGAACATGGAGCTTAAACCGCCTGACACCGGTCGAAATCTACCTGCCCCACCGCAAGCGGAGCAAGTTTCCCGTTTTTGAACAGTTGATGGATGCTGGTGACGTCACTGGTGGAAGATTAATGTCACAAGACGGAGACGACGCCAGCCGCCACAAGAGGAATGATAATTTAAACGGCGAAAAGGACAGGAGTATTGACACATTTTCGAACGAGCTTCGCGGAACCCGAAAAGAAGACAGCACTCGCCGGCGTTTTGGTCCAGTGCCTGGGCACACGCGTAGGCCTACTGAGAGTACAGTGCCAAGGCGTCGTCCTAGCTCGTTCGCCGTTGGACACGAGGCTGGCGGAGGTTGCGAGACTCCCGGTTTTGGCGGAGTCGGCAAAGACGAAGAGAAATATACCGGAAAAGTCGTGGATGCAGACGAAGACGTGAACAAGTACACTGAGCCCGTTCGCACGAGCGAGGGTTTAGGCTTTTTCCGAATCGCGTGGGGACTTCCAAGAGGAAGACCCGTGCCCCTTGATCTCCCATGGCGTTCTACCGGCTACTCGTTCGATTCATCACATGTTGTGGATACCGCTGCTGAGGTGCCTTCCCCCCATGACTGACCCTTCCCAGTGGGAGAGGCCAGCAATGTTGATTCGTATGACGACATTGCTGCCAAATCTTCCCGTTGTTCAGAACATGTTACAGCATGTAGCATAATATACGGCCACGTGCACGTTCCCTGGATGGATGGCCACTCATCACCAAATCATCCTGGAAGATGACCCTCGATGTGGTTGGAAGCAGTTCAACATTCCGGAAAAGGGTCGGGAGGGGTTGACTAGTGTGAAGCAACAGTACTTATCTGGGTTCAAGGGCCGAGTTGGTGGGAATCGGCTTTCCGGTAGATGAGAGAATCCACGCCACAAGCCCGTCCTTGTAGCTGCACCATATTATACACAAGCGCCTTCCTAGGACCCCCGTTTTGGTTCGGCCGTGCTTGGTTTTGTTCGCCACGTAGTGTCATGAATTGTCTCATTCCTTGGGGTTTGGTGGACTCAACTTGTTGTGCACACGTGGGATTTCAGAGGCCCCCGCGTGCGAATTGTCTGATAATTCTGTGATGATTCTGTGTTTCGGTTTGTGTGTTGAGTGTTGTACATGTACAATTGGCGCCACCCCCCCTCAGGGGTGGAGAAGCCTCACTCCGCGCAAGGGGGATGATCGCACCACGTTGTGTTACAATGGTCAAGCACCCTCGAGGCAGTGACACAGTGCTTACAACTGTCTCTGGAAGTGAAAGCATCAGAAAGTGAATTAAGCCATGCGCAGCTGTCATCCGTACGCAAAGAAGATGCCGAGCACCCTTAGCTGGATGCAGCGCACCCTTCATGCGACTAGCCAAATATCCCACGGCGCTTCGCGCTTCGTGATGTGAGAGCCTGGTCCGGTGAGAACCCGGCGTGCTCCGTCCCGGCTTTGTAGGGATGCGAGGTCAATGGTCTAACGACTACGGCATGCACGACTATGAGTACCCCCCCCCCCCCACCCCCCCTCAGGAGTCTGGCCTGTTCCTGTTCATTTTCTTCGTCTTTGCGTATACACACTAGTCTTCGTCTTAGGAGGCCTATGGCCTGCTCACGTGTGTGGCCTCGTGATTGCGAAAGAAGGACAGAAATCGTGTGTATCATACTAGGAAAAAAATGGCTGCGAATGCGAAGAGACGGGTGCAACATTCGAAGTAGAATACTACTACCCATGAACAACAAGACACGACTCACCGACACCCATAGCAAACAATCCGCCTACAAGACTCGTCAAGCCTGTAACAACCAACAAACATAGATGCGACATTGATTATTGGTGCGAAGCAGGGTCGTTTGGATTATACTTTTTGTGTGCCCAACGGCCACGAGGAACTGAATCTCGACTCCGCAACATGGTGCGTGCGCGAGGAGACAAATCGCGGCTACACGCCGTCTTTACCCAGCGTCGCCAAGCACTCCTGGCGGCGCGCGCGGAAACGGGTGCACCGGTTGAACACGCTGAACTTTGCAACCATTGTGGAGTTGTTCCCCAACGAGTCTGTTTTTGAGGGACATGCTGCCAAGGTGGAGATTTCTTCTTCCACGACTAGTCCATCACTCGTGCCATCCGTATCATATCCATGAGCTCGGAGCAGATGCTCCCAGCACCCAATTGCTCCGATCTCGATGAGTTTGTGCCTAAACATTGCCTACCCGCCATCCATTCGAAGCCTCGTCCAATCTACAGCTGGATTCACGCCCATTTGACGCTGGAAAGCTGTGTGTCTACCTATCTAGCCTGATGAACGAGAGGTTCAGGCCACACGGCTGCAACTTCCCCACGAGGATCTATGTTCCGTCGCATCCCGCACGCATACTATCTTGTCCTAGGGTCAGGGTGAATGTCCCAATCCTATCGATGGAGTTGGTGCCGGAGGTAGCGGCGGTGACTTGGTGATTGCTGGTGCTGGGGCAAGCACCGCTGGTGTTCACCGTTTGGAAAGAGGAAGGACATTGTATTGCACACGAAGATTTACTGCACAGCTGACACAGCCAGGAATCGACCGATGTCCCGCCACCGCAGCACCACCAGTTAATGGGCAACGTTTCCTCTGTTATTAGTTCGTGGTCATCAAACGAGCCGACTTGGGTTGATGCACGTCGACGGTGCCTCCGCAATCAACTGCGTTGACCAGTCAGAGAATCTTTCCCGTCGTGTTGTGCTGTACTGTCGCAGCACCGCAAAAAGGTCAAAACAAGGGTGAGGCCCGAAATAAATAATCTGGGCAAGACGTTATATATTATGATAAAGATGTGGTGGTATACACGCGTGATGAAGTCTGGTTGACCCGTGGAGAAGAACTCACTTGTTATTACTCTTGCAGAATAGCAGCAGCAGTAGCTGTTGCCTTGGGTATCGGTAGGGATCACACCAAGGGGCGCAGGATCCTCAGTACAAACAGGGGCTACTAGATCCTGTCCCCTTTGTTTTATCCTTCCGCGGAGAGTTGCATCTCTCCGCGCCTTCTAGAAGGAACCATGCTCTTCTATGTTCCGTCTACACATCTGAATCCTATAACACTAGCCCACCCTGGAGGTTCTCATACGCAGATACTGTAAAACCTCGGATCTTGGCAAGCAATTGTCGAGTTCCTAAATGAAAGTATCGAGGATGTGGAGCTCCAAAACAGCACAATTCACCCTCCCACACCTCTCACTCGATGGGTCGCAAGACCATCGTTTGACTAAACGACAAAAGATACCGGAAGGAACTGACGGGGCTAAGAAAAGCCTAAGACGACCGGAGAAAGGAGAACATGAAGAAGAAGGAAGAAAAACAGAATAGAAAAAGAAACGTCGTCCGAACGACAAAAAGAAAGAATCATCGTCGGAACGACAAAAATACCGGTATCTAAAAATACCGATAAGATACGTCACTCATGCAACCGCCAGGGCAGCGTAGAAGCAGCTCTACGGGCGCGAAACACTGACAGGTCGTGACCAGAAGCTTAAGGAATGAACGAAAACGAAAAGAAGGCGGAAACCAGCCAAGGCTAAAAACAAGCCAAACAATGCAGAAAGCAATCTAAAATTGCTAAAAGCAAACCCAACAAGGAGAAAAGCAACAGAAGGCACAAACAACCAAGCATGTCGTCTTAAAGGGCGCGCACAACGTGATCGGGCAACGAATCAGTCCCAATGTCCCCACGCGACATGTCGATGTTGCGAAGAATTCCCTTAAAAAGGGCGCTGCCGCTGTGAACTTGGAGGCACCAGGATCCGGAGACGGCGGTTTCGGCGGTGGAGTAGCGAACATCAGGAAGGGCGAGCTTGACAGGTCCCGGATCGTCTAAGAAGCGGACGACGTAGAGGTCGGACTGTAGAGGCGGTCCAGTTATCTTGCCCAACCACCAAAGTCCATCGCGCGTTTTGTACCAGAAGAAGGCGCCTGCAGGGAGCGGATTATTGGCGAGGCGACGGTCCCAAGTTGAACGAGAGACGAGCGAATAGCCCGAAGGCAAGGCTCGCTCTCCTTGAACGCGCGCCATCTCGCGGGTGGCCGCACCAATACGCATCGCCCGATAGCGGCGATTCGTTTGGCGGTGTTGATCCGGCGAACCCGTCCAGTACCGAAGGATGTGTGTCTTGGAATGCTGGAGGTCCATCTCCCGTTCCCAAGAAGGACGAAGAAGACCTTTCCAATGAGTTTGGTACAAAACAGCGATGGTGCCACCACGACCACGAACAGACTGATGTCCACTAATGCGTTCAACCTCGAGACGTTCGACCGGAGTCGAAACGTCGTCTTCCGTAACATGGTAGGGAGGAGATTTATTCGCGTAGGAGTTCAATACATATGGTGTAAGGCCTGCAGGCAGGAATCGAGGCAAGTCTTCAGTGTCATGCGGATTAGCGCAGGGCTTGCAACGCGCAACTGATACACGATTCTTCGAGTCCGAACCTGGCAGATCCGATGGAAGATCCAAATAGAGCAACTTGGAAGCCAAAGGACAACCGTCGGGAGCGTCAAAACAAGGACCCACAGCCAAGATTTTGAACGGACCAGTCCAGAGGAAAGACAACTTAGCCTTAAGAACCTTGTCATCAGTGCCGGAACGAACGCCTTGGCGAATGGTAGATTCGGTGTTGTACACCCAAACCCATCCACCGACGGCGTAAGAGGGAACCTTGCGCAAAGCATCCGTAAGCGCGGAGTTACGCCGTTCGATCCGCGAAACGGACAGGTTGTGTTGTTCACGAACTAAATCGTAAGATCGGCGTTGGCGATCAGCAGCAAGATCGCAATACTCGAGTTGATCTCGATGCAAGCTTTGGTGGCCTCGAGCATATGGATGCTCAAAAACCGTCATCGGCATGCGCGGCAGCCGGTTGATATGCACTTCGTTGGGTGCCAAACCAGTAGCGGCACTAACCGAATTGTTGTAGGCGAACTCAACGTGCGGCAAATGGATGTCCCAATCATCTTGCCTCTCATTGACGACCATAGCCAACATCTGAGCCATAGTGTGGTTGACTCGCTCCACACCCCCATTTCCATTGGGATGGTAAGAGCTAGTAGCCACTTTGCGAATAGCCAGACGGGCGTACACAGCCTGCGACAGTTTAGAGCAAAACTGAGAGCCATTATCGGACAAGAGACTCAAAGGGCAACCCCACAAAGGGATATACTGATTGACAAGTACATCAGCGGTGCCTTCGGCGGTGAATTCTGCAGCCGTAACCGCGTACATATCAGCACGGCGGCTGAAACGATCAGTGAAGAGCAGAATATATGTGTTTCCGCGCGGGGTCAACGGGAGGGGGCCGAAGTAATCGACGCTCACCGACACACCAGGGCCCGAAGGCAGCGGAAGGCACAGAGTAGGCCATCGAGGCGTCTGATGAGATGCTTTGCGGGCTTGGCATCGCAAACAATGCCGTACCCACCATTTCGTGCAAACACTCATGCCAACCCACCAATAGAAACGTTCTAGCATGCTGAGCGTGCGAGCTGCACCGAGGTGGCAGGAGGCATCAGCGTGACAGGCTTGCATGATCCACGGACGCATGAGCATGGGAACATAAATCCGAATGGGTTCGTCGTTGAGAAGGCGAGCAGCACGCCCACCAGGACGTGTGGCCGCAGACAACGGGGGCGTGGTTTGCTTGCGAACAAGCAAGACCAAACCATCATCGTCAACATGCAACCGGCCTTTGTTAGACAGATCACGGATCTCTGACAGAGGAGGTCGACGAGCGGACGGAAGGTGGTCGAGGAAGTACGAAGGGAGAGCCGAAGGCCGACCCAGAAGGATGAAACGAATAGCTGCATCACAAACAGGTTCGTTACGTTGCTCGCGAGCCCAATCAGCATGCGAGAAACGTTCGACAGACGCCCGCAAGCCTAAATCTGCCGAAGAATGTAAAGCCGCCTCGATAGAAGAGGGAGCCGATTCATGAGGCTCCGATTGCAATCCACCCGAAGGCAGAGCAGCACCGGAAACCGAAGACAAAGGCGTACGAGTGGTTGAGACCGAACTCGTCGGAGATTCCGAAGAATCAGGGACAGCAGGAGAATGCTGGGTAGGGGCAACCGAAGTTGCGGGATGTGTCGAAGATGCTAGACCCCTTCCACGAGCCAGGGGCGTAGGAGGGTTTGGGATCGAATCATCAGCACCAGGAGTCGAAACCAACCTGGGCAACACGGGTGGCATAGTCGAAGCTGAAGGCGCGGGCGGGGAACGTCGAAACGATCGAGGCGAAGGGGAAATCCGAGCGGGAGCAAGTGGATCCTCAGAGAAGCCATAATCCACGGGCGGGAGGGGCGTGCCCGCCACAACCGCCGTACGACGACGAGTTCGCGTGGAAATCACTTGAGCAGGGTCGAGAGTCCTTCGTGATGTGGCGGTCGGCGAGACGACCGGCGGAGACTCGGGTGCGAGAGCCATAACATCCTCCACCGAAGAGTGCAGAGAGCCAGACCAAACTAGGGCCCGCTTACGCAGTCGTGGAGGAGGCAACGCGCGGAGCTTCTTGGACGGCCAGGGTGCGATGTTCCAGATGCCAGGTGAAAACGAAAGGCCTGACGGCGAGAGACGTGGACCATGCCGACGGAAGTCGATGAAATCATCGGTAGAGGGGGCCAGCCCACCCAAGACCGAAGTCGGGGAAGTGGGGACGAGCCCACCCAAGCCAACACCCACGGCGCGATGGCCGGAAGGCGTAAGGCCACAAGAACGGATGAAGAACACGCCCTCCTCATCGTCATCTGGCGTCAATCGACTGCGACCAGATCGGTCACATTCCGCCGCATCGATCGGAAGGCGAGAGAGGAAATCAGCGTTGC